TGACGGAGAGAGACACAGCGAGAGAGGGAACACAAGCAGGGGGAGTGGGAGAGGGAGAGGCAGGCCTCGATCCCAGGACCCCGGGATCATGACCCGAGGCGAAGGCAGATGCTTCACGCCTGAGCCACCCAGGTGCCCCAATAAATAAAATCTCTAAAAAAAAGACTTTATTTATTTTGACTGGGGAGGGTTAGAGGGGGAGGGGGAGAGAATTTCAAGCAGATTTCACACTGAGCACAGAGCCCAATGCAGGGCTTCATCTCACCACCCTGATTACATGACCTGAGTGGAAACCAAGAGTCAGACACCTAACTGACTGAGCCACCGAGGCGTTCCAGGACATTAGTTTTAACACAAACTTTCAAAGGACATACAGCCGTAAAAAATAATCTGTATTCTTGAGAGTATTATTATTAAGAATTGATATAATATTCTATCCTTATGAATGGACTTTTGTTAAAACCTAATATGCAAGGTCAGATCCTATCTGCTTCACTGCAACATTAATAAACATATTGTGGGGCGCCTGGGTGGCTCAGTCGTTAAGCATCTGCCTTAGGCTCAGGTCATGATCCCAGGGTCCTGAGATCAAGTTCTATATCGGCTCCCTGCTCTGCAGGGAGTCTGCTTCTCCCTCTCCCTCTGCCCTTCCCCCCCACTTGTACTCTCTCTCTCAATCTCAAATAAATAAATAACATCTTAAAAAAATACTAGTAAGAAAGTGAAAAGATAAACCACAACATATACATTTGACAGAGGACTCATACCCAGGATATAAACTTTTTTTATTATTATGTTATGTTAATCACCATACATTACATCATTAGTTTTTGATGTAGTGTTCCATGATTCATTGTTTGTGTATAACACCCAGTGCTCCATGCAGAACTGCCCTCCTTAATACTCATCACCAGGCTAACCCATCCCCCCACCCCCCCAGGATATAATTCTTAAAAATTCCTCCAAGTCAATTAAAAAAAAAACAATTCAATAAAAAATGGACAAAAGAAGACAACTACATTTCACAAAAGGCCAATACATATAGGAAAAGGTACTCAACTCATTATTCATCAAGGAAAGGCAAATTAAAGCCACACTGGGGGCGCCTGGGTGGCTCAGTGCATTCGTGTCTGCCTTCTGCTCAGGTCACGGTCTCAGGATCCTGGGATCCAGCCGGTGTGGGGCTCCCTGCTCAGTCGGAAGTCTACTTCTCCCTCTCCCTCTCCCTCTGCAGCGCCCCCTCCAAACTCATGTGCACACACTCCCTCTCTCTCAAACAAGTAAATAAAATCTTTGAAATAAATAAATAAGGCCATTCTAAGATAACACTGCACTCCACCAAGATGTAGTGTAAATTTTTTTTAATTTTATTTATTTACTTACTTAGAACGCGCTTGTGAGCATGTGCACACGTGTGCCCAAGCTGGAGCTGGGGGAGGGGCAGAGGGAAAGGGAGAAAGAATCCTAAGCAGCTCTGCCCTGAGCCAGGACCCTCACAGGGAGCCGGATCTCATGACCCTAAGATCATGACCTGAGCGTAAATCAAAAGCCCCATACTTGGGGCGCCTGGGTGGCTCAGTCGTTAAGGTTCTGCCTTCGGTTCAGGTCATGATCCCAGCGTCCTGGGATCAAGCCCCGCGTCGGGCTCCCTGATCAGCGGAAAGCCTGCTTCTCCCTCTCCCTCTCTCACTCCCCCTGCTTGTGTTCCCTCTCTCGCTGTGTCTCTCTCTGTCAAGTACATAAATAAAATTAAAAAAAAAAAAAGCCCCATACTTAATGGACGGAGCGGCCCAGGAGCCCTGTAGTGTAAATTTTGTTTTTGTTTTTCTTAAGATTTTATTTATTTGAGAGAGAGAGAAATAGCCACAGAGATAGCAAGAGAGAGCACGAGCAGGGAGGAGAGGGAGAAGCGGACTACCCGCTGAGCAGGGAGCCCGATGCAGGGCTCAAGGCGGGGCTTCATCCCAGGACCCTGGGATCCTGACCTGGGCCGAAGGCAGACGCTTAACCCACTAAGCCACCCAGGCGCCCTGCAGTGTAAAGTTTAAAAGACTGCACTACACACCTATTAGAATAGCTAAAACAAAATATCCTGACAATAGCAGACAATAGAATGAAGAATGATTGGACTCTCATACCTTACTAGCGGCAAACTGCTACAGCCCCTTTGGAAAGCAGTCTTCACAGTTTCTTATAAAGCCAAATATATACCTAATATATAACCTAGCAATCCTGCTTGTAGGTATTTACCCCAGAGAAATGAAAATGTATGTTCACACAAAAACCACTGTTTGAATGTTTACAGTAGCTATATACACAATCATTAAAAGCTGGGAACAACACAAATGTCCTTCAACCAGCTATGGATAAACAAACAATAGAATACTATTCCGCAATAAAATGTAATAAACTATATATGCATACAAAGTCATGGGTGAATCTCAAATGCAATTTGCTAAGTGAAAGAAGACATACACACACACACCTACGTATTGTATTATTTCATTTATATGAAATTTTAGAAAAGGCAAAACTCCCGTGATAAAAATTAGATCAGACTTTGCCAGAGGCCAAATTCCAAACAGACACAAATAAACTTTTAGAGGTGATGGAAATGTTCTAGATCATGATTGTAGTGAGGGTTACATGACTAAATACACTTCTCAACCTTTATTGAATTGCACACTTACAATCAGTGAGTTTTATTGTAACTAAAGCATATCTAACTGAAGCTGCCCCAAAGAAAGTACAAGCAGAAGAAAAATCCCTTGCTTCCAATATTAAAGAACAGGGAAAACATTACATATTTTTGTTAGCTTTGATACAGGATAAAAAATCATCCAACCCAGAAAGATAGGAGACAACTTGTTTTTCCAAGTTATAAAGGTGACTAAATGGTGGAGAGTTAACATTAAAAATTGCAAGCAGACATGATGACACTAAGTTATGAACATCATGAAAACTTTTGGGTCCAGTTTCCCTCCCACAATGTACACTTTTATGCTATTTACTGATTAAGCGTATTTCTTATTTTTTAAGAGTTTTGGGGTTCGTTTTGTTTTGTTTTGTTTTGTTTTAAAGATTCTATTCATTGGGACGCCTGGGTGGCTCAGGTGGTTGAGCCTTCGGCTCAGGTCATGACCCTGGAGTCCTGGGATGGAGCCCCACATCAGGGAGTCTGCTTCTGCTTCTCCCTCTGACCCTCCTCCCTCTCAGGCTCTCTCTCTCTCTCTCAAATAAATAAATAAAATCTTTTAAAAAAAGATTCTATTCATTTATTTGTCAGAGAGAGAGTGAGCACAATCGGGGGAGCGGCAGGCAGAGGGAGAAGTAGGCTCCCCGCTGAGCAAGAAGCCCAACTCAGGACTCCATCCCAGGGCCCTGGGATCATGACCTGAGCCAAAGGCAGATGCTTAAACAACTGAGCCACCCAGGCGTCCCTGATTTAGTATTTTTCTGTGGGTTTTGTTTGAATACATTAAAATGAAATGTCTTTCAAAGAATCCCAACAGAATAAAGAGTTAAGAGTGTTTGTATTAAACCACATGGTGTATACTGAAGGCTCAAGCTGAAAATCAGACCTTATATGTTTCATTTCGTGGATGTCTAGTCAAGATAATCAATTTGGTCATGAAAAACAATTTGTAATTGCAAATTCTGCACATATGCATGGGGATAAATGGAAATTTCATACATTCAACTTTGAAATAGCAGATTGCTGATAATCATAAAGACCTTACTTCAGAGGGGTTAAGAGATGTGCCAGGAAAGAATAATTTGGACTCTCTTGGTACAAGATTGCTTCTCGTGTTTTCTGGAATACAAGTGATACTGCCTACTTAGTGAACGTCAGACATCTGCACAGTTGATTCACAATATTGCATCCCAGGATCCTAAATTAGAATTGTGTGGTCAACAAACCAGAATATAGCCTAGAAATGTGGTATAATGGAAGGAAACCAGGAGTCAGGCAACCAGGCTTCTTCCCCCACCATCCCTCCTATCTCCATCCACGACCACTATGTGACATGATCACATTCTCTACCAAAAAAAGTGTGTGTGTGTGTGTGTGCACGCGCACGCACATGCGTGCGCGCTAGTCTGCTCAGGCTGCCAAAACAAAATGCCACACATTGAGTGGCTTAAACAACAAATTTTATTTTCTTACACTTCTGCAGGCTAGAAGTCCAAGATCAAAGTGTCAGCAGATTTTGTGTCTCCCAAAGCCCCTCTCCTTGGCTTGCAGATGGTCATCTTCTCATTATGTCCTCATGTGGGACCTTTTCCCTGGTGTCGATGTCCTAATCTTGTCCTTTTTTTTAAAATATTTATTTGAGAGAGAGAGGGAAAGGGAGCAGGGGGAGAGGAGAGAGAGAATCCCAAGCAGACTCCAGGTTGAGTGTGGAGCCCAGAGCGGGGCTCTATCCCATGACCCATAAGATCACCACGTGAGCCAAGACCAAGAGTCAGGACACTTAACCAACTGAGCCACCCTGGAACCCCCTAATCTTGTCTCTTGATAAGGACACCAGTCATACTAGATTAGGGTCATAGCTTATGACCTCATTTCATCTTAATTACCTAGTTAAAGGCCCTATCTAGGGGTGCCTGGGTGGCTCAGTCGGGGTTAAGCATCTGCTTTTGGCTCAGGTCATGATCCCAGGGTCCTGGGATCGAGCCCCAAGTCAGGCTCCCTGCTCAGTAAGCCTGCTTCTCCCTCTCCCTCTGCCTGCAGCTCCCCCTGCTTGGGCTCGCTCTCTCTCTCTCTCTCTCTCTCTGTCAAATAAATAAATAAAACCTTAAGAAAAAATAAATAAAGGCCCTATCTCCAAATACATTCACATTTAAGGTACTTGAGGTTAGGATTTCAATATATGGACTTTGCAGGGGACATAATTCAGTTCATTACAGGTCATTCTAGGATTAACTGACATCCCAGGATTCTACAACCCTCCATTATCACCTCTCTTTGCTTCTTTTCAAACTAACAATAGCATCCCGGAATCCTCAGAGAAGGAGGGTGAATAGAATGCTCTGTTTAAACAGTTTAGCAAGGCCCACACAAGATAGGAGGATTTTAGGAGATAGAATGAATTGTAAACCCTCCTTCAAATTTTATTATAATTGGTTGTAGAAATTCTTTTACACAGAGTCATCGTATTTGTAGCACGCCAGACCCACAGGCTACTTTTCGGGCAGGTCTGATTATTCCTTTAACGTGAGGGAAAGTCCTCCCTTAGACACGTTAAGTCAAGCCACTTCACAGTGGCAGTGTCATTTTATTTTATTTTTTTTAAGATTTTATTTATTTATTTGAGAGACAGAGACAGAGAAAGAGAGAAAAGCAGACTCCCTACTAAGCGGAGAGCCCGACATGGGGCTCGATCCCAGGACGCTGAGATTATGACCTGAGCCAAAGGCAGACGCTTAACCAACTGAGCCACCCAGGCGCCCCGCCAGTCTTATTTTAGAGTGGAACAAGCTGTTATCATGAAATAATTAAAAATTAGCAGTGGCTAAAAACGCAAAGTTCCTGGAGTCCTGTGGGGAAACATATACCCTTTAAGTGCAATCTCATGTTGTTTTTTCTTCTTTCCCAGAAGCTGTAATATTTCCAGCATGGCTTGAGTGTATTAATCACTTGTTAATTTTGGAAGCTGCTGAATCAACACAACCTCCTCCACCTCTCATTTTCAACTTCAGTAAGACGCTGCGGGCCTTGGTGACAACAGAACTGTCCCCAGAACCGCTGACCCTGCCAACAATAACAAGTACCTCACTCTTTCTTTTTTTTTTTTTAAAGATTTATTTATTCATTTGACAGAGAGAGACACAGCGAGAGAGGGAACACAAGCAGGGGGAGTGGGAGAGGGAGAGGGAGAAGCAGGCTTCCTGCCGAGCAGGGAGCCCGATGCGGGGCTCGATCCCAGGACGCTGGGATCATGACCTGAGCCGAAGGCAGATGCCTAACGACCGAGCCACGCAGGCGCCCCACGTATCTCAATCTTTGAACCTAGCTGAGAACTGGATAATCGTGGCCCTTCCCTGAACTTTGTCCTCCAACCCTTCCAGTGGTTTTATAAATCCCTTAGTGCTGGAAATATCTAGAATGATTTCTCTTTTCCCTACAAATGAACAAAATAATATTTAAAAAGCTCTAAAGACAAATGGCAGCCCATGTAAAGTTAGTATATCTTTAGTTGGAAGTTACAGAAAACAAAACCCGAGGTAGCATAAGAAAGAAAAAGACAAAAGGGGAAAAGAGAAAAAGAAAAAATAAGTTCTCACTACGAGAATTCAGGCTCACTCACAGCACTCAAAACTTCCAATGCAGTCAGTCCTAAGAAAATACTTGTGCAAGTCATTGGGAAGGGCATCAGGAACCCAGGCAAGTATTCTCATTTAGTGCCCTGTATCTTTGCAAAGGTTTTGTTTTGTTTTTGCTACCCTTTGTAAATGGCGGAGATCAAGGCAAATTTGTGTCCCCAGTTTTTCATCTCCACCATTCAAGAAGCCAATCCTCCTCTCAAATCCCTCCGTTCCACATCCACATTCCTCAAAAAGAAAATCTGGTAAGAGCATTAGCACTGACAGCAATGCCCTGAGATTGGTGTGGGAAGTTTCCAGAGAGAGTAGATAATCAAAGGAAATAGAGTTTCAGGTGTTCACTGCAAGTGGGGAAACTTTTACAATACATATCTATGTGGCCTGGGTGCTACCTGTGTCATTGTGCAAGTTACTCATACACAAGAACATCTGGTTTCTCCCCAGGAGTTTATGCTGTTCCTGTTTGTTGTTGTCGTTTGTTTGTTTAATGACTTCTCCAAGCTAGTTCTGTAATGTCTGTATTCTTTGTCATTTGTAGCCACTGAGCTCACGGTCTCCTGGGCACGGGCACAACTCTGCATGGATTTGTGGTATTCTGGATTTCCAAAAATATACGTTGAGGTTTTTCAAAACCCTCTCTGGACATCTCATTCTCCAGATTTTCCTTAAAAAATTTTTTTCAAACTCTGTTTTCCCTATTATGGCCGCCACAGCCACTGCAATGGTAAACAGTTAAAAGTGGTTTTCAACAAATACATAGGATTGTTGGTGCTAAGTGAGTTCTGAGTCAAGTGAAAGCTAAGTCCTGAGAATGGGGCTTTTCCAGGGAGCTGCCAGCAAGGTCAAATAGCAGTAATTCTCTGGGCATCGGACTTTTGGGGGCTTTCCCAACCTGTTCTTCCCCATCCAGAGGCTGCTAGGATGATGCTTTCCAAAGCACTATGATTGTAAGACAGTTTGTCTTCCAGGCGACTGCAGAGCTAGGGAGAGAGGGATGGAAATAAGGCAAGTTCAAACAACACAAAGCTTACTGTTTTTACTGAGATTTAGCTGTTTTTCTTTTTCTTTTAAGATTTATTATTTGGGGCGCCGGGGTAGCTCAGATGGTTGAGCATCTGCCTTCGGATTAGTTCATGATCTCAGAGTCCTGGGATCGAGCCCCAAGTCAGTCTCCCTGCTCAGTGGGGAGTCTGCTTCTCCCTCTCCTGCCACTGCCCCTGCTTGTGCTCTCTCTCTCTCAAATAAATAATAGATTGTATTTATTTATTTGAGAGAGAGCACACACAAGAGGGGGGAGGGGCAGGGAGAGAGAGAGAGAGAGAGAGAATCTCAAGCCAACTCCCACTGAGCCCAAGCCAGAAGCCTGACTTGGGGTTCAAGATCATGACCTGAGCCAAAATCAAGAACCTGAGGCTTAACCGACTGAGCCATCCAGGCGCCCCTCAGCTTTTTCCTTGAACCAATGCTCCTTTATTTCCACAGTTAATTTTTTTTAAGATTTTATTTATTTATTTAATTGACAGAGAGAGAGAGAGAGAGAGAGAGAGAGAGAGAGACAGCGAGAGAAGGAACACAAGCAGGGGGAAGGGGAGAAGCAGGCTTCTGGCCGAGCAGGGAGCCCGATGCGGGGCTCGATCCCAGGACCCTGGGATCATGACCTGAGCCGAAGGCAGTCGCTTAACCAACTGAGCCACCCAGGCGCCCCTCCACAGTTAATTCTTTTTTAAAGATTTTATTTATTTTGGGGTGCCTGGGTGGCTCAATTTGTTAAGCATCTGTCTTCGGCTCAGGTCATGATGCCAGGGTCCTGGGATCGAACCCCCGCATCTGGCTCCCTGCTCAGTGGGGAAGGCTGCTTTTCCCTTCTCCCCCTGCTGCTCCCCCTGCTCCGGCTTTCTCTTGAGCTCTCTCCCACTATCTGTTGAATGGAGAAATAAAATCTTAAGAAAAAAAAAAGCAACTGCAAACGCAAGAAAACTAGAAGTGACCACACATGCCCAGGGAAAGGCTCTGAAAGGACTTGAGAAGAATTTTAGTTTTACCTCAGGCTGATCCTCCCACAGACAGCCTACAACAATCAACAAACCATAACAATAAACAAAAGCAATAACAAAAAACAGGAAACCCTGGGGACAGGGGAGAATCTGATATCCAGAGTTACCACATTATTAGATTCAAATGCCCAGTATTCCACAACAACAACCAAAAAATCACATGGCATACAAAAACCAGTAAATATGGACCAATGAAAAAAACAAAACAATAGCAAATATCACTCATAAAGATCTAATTAATGGCACATATACTAGAAAAAGATGTTAAAACAACTGTTTTTAAAGATGCTCAAAGAACTAAAGAAGGATGTGGAGAAAGTTAAGAAAGCATTGTGTGAACAAAATGAAAATATCAGTAAAGAAACAGAAAATCTAAAAAGAAACCAAAACAACTCATTTGCATTTGCCTACTAGTTAGTGATGTTAAGGATCATTTAATGTACTTATTGTCCATTTTCATATCTTTTTTAGAGAACTCTCTATTCAAGCTCTTTGCCCATATTAAAATCTGATTGATTTTTGTTGTTGGGTTGTGGGAACTAGTATTTCAAATCAGGGGGAAAAGATGGATTGTTCAATAATGGAGGGCAACTGGGTAAAATTCTATAAAAAATTTAAAAATTGTCAGGCGCCTGGGTGGCTCAGATGGTTAAGCGTCTGCCGTCGGCTCAGGTCATGGTCCCGGGGTCCTGGGATCGAGTCCTGCATCGGGCTCCCTGCTCCTTGGGAGCCTGCTTCTCCCTCTGCTTCTCTCTCTCTCTCTCTCTCTCTCTCCCTCTGTCTCTCATGAATAAAAAAATAAAATCTTAAAAAAAATTTAAAAATTGTCACAACTTTCCATGTTTGTTTCTTAAAGGGAAATAAAATATTTGGGTGAAAATACAGACCTTTTATGCACCGTAACCAGTCCCTCTACCCATCAAGGCAATCACTAGCATAGATTTATTTTTTCTCTTTTTATTGAAAAACAACTTTATATACTAAGTTGGTATAAACAATTTGTAATTCTGTTTTGTGTATTTTATATATTCTAAAAATTTATTTTTTCACGTAACATTATCTTCTCAAGATTCATAGAGTCTAGTGTAATTTACTCCTTTTCGTTGCTATATAGTATTTCATCGTTCCTGCGTTCTATATTTCATTATGTACTCTCCATTTGAAGGTATTTTGGTTGTTTCAAACCGCTTAATACTACAAACGGCTCTCTGATGAATATCCTTATATCTGTCCCCATGCACACATGGGTGAAAGTTTCCTAGAATTTATGCTAACAACAGAAATTGCTTCATTAATAGGTATGTGTATTTTCATTTTTGGTAGAAAATACCAAATTGGTCTCCATTAGGTTGTATCAGTTTACATTCTCATCAGGAGTGTATGAGATCTGGGTGTGTGGGTGGCTGAGTCGGTCAAGCGGCTGCGTTCAGCTCAGGTCTTGATCCCTGGGTCCTGGGATCCAACCTGGCATCGGGCTCCTTGCTCAGCAGGGAGCCTGCTTCTCCCTCTGCCTGCCGCTCCCCCTGCTTGTGCTCTCTCTCTCTCTCTCTGTCAAATGAATAAATAAAATCTTACAAAAGAAGTTAAAAAAAGGGAATGTATGAGCGTTCTGTATGTTCATATTCTCATCAGCATTTTATATTGTCAGACATAAGATCATTAGCAGGACTGAGGAATAAAAAGTGGTATATCATTGTTGTTTTAATCTGCATTTCCCTGATTATTATAGAGCTTATCTTCCCATTTGTGTTTTTGGCCATTTGTTATTCCTCTTCTGCTGTGTGCTAGTCTTTTCCCTGACCCATTTTTCTATGGAGTTTTTTGTCCTTTGGTTTTAATTAACTGTAAGAATTCTTCATTCTGTACAAAAGGCTTTTTTGTCTATTACAGATTGCTTCAGTTAGAAATTCCATTTTGCTTCAAGCAATAAAACCCTACGGAAAGACAAATGTCTATATTTTTCTTGGATCAGATTTTGCACAGACCGTACCAGGTCGGTGCCGTTGTTCATGAAGCTACCAAGGACCGCGGCTCCTCTTCCCTTTCAGTTTTCACCAACTTGGTACATGGCTTTCATCACTGTGGGACAAGGCAGCTGCTATACTTCCATCTATTTCAGCATTTCAAGGATAAGAAGGATGCAAGTAAAAGGCAAAGGCTAAAAAGGGCAAAGGGGTGCTCCAGCTAAATCTTTACGCATTAAACACCTTCACGGAATCTTGCCATTTGCAATGATGTGGATGGAACTAAAGGGTATTATGCTGAGCAAAATAAGTCAATCAGAGAAAGACGTGTATCATATGATCTCACTGATAGGAGGAATTCTTAATCTCAGGAAACAAACAGGGTTGCTGGAGTGGTGGGGGGTGGGAGGGATGGGGAGGCTGGCCGATGGACACTGGGGAGGGTGTGTGCTGTGGTGAGCGCTGTGAATTGTGTAAGACTGATGAATCACAGACCTGTACCCCTGAAACAAATAATACATTATATGTTAAAAGAAAAGTAGATAGTAGGAGGGGAAAAGGGAAGGGGTGGAAATCGGAGGGGGAGACGAACCGTAAGAGACTACGGACTCTGAGAAACAAACCGAGGGTTCTAGAGAAGAGGGGGTGGGTGTTATTAAGTATTGCAACTTATACCACTCATGCATACAATTTGAATTTTTTTTAAAGATTTTATTTATTTATTTGAGAGAGACAGAGAGCACGAGCAGGGGGAAGGGGCAGAGGGAGAGGGAGAAGCAGACTTCCTGCTGAGCAGGGAGCCCGACATGGGACTCGATCCCAGGACCCCGGGACCATGACCCAAACCAAAGGTTGATGCTTAGCTGGATGAGCCACCCAAGCACCCCACAATTTGAAATTTTTAACATAAAAAAAGTTATATATACACTAGGGACATATATGAAGACTAATTTTCAATGGAATTGATGTGTCCAAAATTACAGAGGTAGGAAGTGAGAAATGTCTTTTTTGTTTTTTAAGATTTTATTTATTTATTTGTCGGAAAGCACAATCGGGGAGCGGCAGGCAGAGGGAGAAGCAGACTCCCTGCTGAGCAGGGAGCCCCACACAGGACTCGGTCCCAAGACCCCGGGATCATGACCTGAGCTGAAGGCAGATGCCTAACCTACTGAGCCACCCAGGTGTCCCGAGAAATCGCTTTTATCTTGGATTAATTCTTTTTCTACCACAGCACACACTGGTTGATTTTAGCCAAACTTCCTTATTCATCAAGAAATTGAAATTTGGCCAAGAAAATTGAGTTTCTTTCTTCTTTTTAAAAATGTTTTATTTATTTATTTATTTGAGAGAAACAGAGATAATGAGAGAGAGCAGGAATGGGAAGAAGGGGGAGAAGCCGACTCCCTGCTGAGCAGGGAGCCCGACTGGGGGCTTGATCCCAGGACTCTGGGATCACGACCTAAGCCGAAGGCAGACGCTCAACCAACTGAGCACCCAGGCGCCCCGAGGAGTTGAATTTCTTAATATGGAAGTTCCGTTAAGCAGAGTGTACATTTAACTTTTTCATTTATGCTAGTCAGTTTGGTTTGTCACAATCTTTGAATAAAAAATACATTATTATAGTTGCATAATGCAGTTATTCTATATTTTCACGTATTGCTTTTTTTAAATGACATTTGCCAGTTATTTTAATAACACCTACGGCCTGTTTGTTCATTTATTCTTTTATTTACTGGACTATGTTAGGCATTGTTATTTAAGTGTAAAAATCTGAGTTTTTTTAAATCAAAAGAGTATAGCAACTACCAGAGCCATAACGTTTGTTTCTGTAAGACAAAAATAAAAGGTTATCTGAACTATTGATGAAATATTTAAAAATCACTATTGGTATAGCTCAGCTGATTTCTAGCCTTAGATTGTCGATTGCATTCTCCAGTGATCTGTATTTAATATGTTTCCAATAGGTTCATTTCAGCCAACAAATGAAATGATGCTCAAATTCTATGGCTTCTATAAGCAGGCAACTGAAGGACCCTGTCCCTGTAAACTTTCAAGGCCTGGATTCTGGGATCCTATTGGAAGATACAAATGGTAATTTCACATAGAGAGCTATGAAAGGGATTTTATTTTAGTGACATAATTATCATATGACTTATTTATGTGGTTATGTATTAGTCTGAGCAGAAGTGTTCTAACGTACTAGATCCAATTTTTATCTTCCATGTGCTTTTAACACAATTTCATACAAATAGAAAAGTCTTGGGGAAGAGAAGAAGATAAAACCAAAAGGTGTATCAAAGATTAAAAAATATCATTTTCAGTTAGTCTTTCCTTTGATAAAGTTTTTTTCATTTATCGTAAGAAGAGCAATTCCCAAAATCAGTTAAACAAACAAACTCTTCTGCCTCTTGTACTTACCAAGAAAAATAATGACTTTACTTGCCAAGTGACACTGTTTGCCTTGAGCCTTTAGACGATAACTAGGCGTACGACTAAGGGACTGCTGTGCTAACTTTTTATCTAGGCTGTGTTCCTCCTGTCCCACTGTACTTGAATAGAAATTTGATTTTTAATATCCTTAAGAAAATCATAAAATAGCCGGAGATACCTCTGTAACATAGACTGTACGTTATGAACAGAGTATGCTAATTGGTGAAGCATGTCTTAAGAGCCACACATTTTGATGGCTTAATATCTTTCTTTTTTTTAATTCCATTTATGTATTTGAGAGAGAGAGAGAGAGAGAGAGAGCACATGCAGGGTGAGGGGCAGAGAGAGAAGCAAGACTCCCTGCTGAGCAGGGAGCCCGATGCAGGGCTTGATCCTAGGTCTCCGGGATCATGACCTGAGCTGAAGGCAGATGCCCAACTGACTGAGCCACACAGGTGCCCAATGGCTAAATTTCTTTACACTGCATTGGAAGTCCTTAAACTCTTTTGAGGATTTCTTAGTACTGTACTTTCCTCTAAGTTCTTTATGAATAGTCATAGATAATAGGTCAAATGTAATAGCAGTATGTTACCTAATCTGTTTTAGGAAAGTTGATTTACTTTATGATTTTTCCTCAGAAATGACCATTGGTTGATTTAAACTGCTCCTGGAAAAAATATGTAAAAAGAAAGGTTTTCATTTTAGGCAAAAATTTCAAAGGACTCTTCTCATCATCTAGGGGTTTAAAAATGTCCTCTGCCTCACATTTTTGGTTTTTTAGAAGTAGGAAACCACTTGTATTTTTTGAGTGTGTAAGTTAGACTCCTGTTTAAATTAATGGAAACTTTTAAGCAAAACTTCTGTTCATTTAAAACATGGCTGTGATAGTTCATTTCATGTAGAGTTCTAAAATGTTCATTTATGTCACTGTTCTTTATAATATAAAATTTTTGAAGAGTTCCTAGCAAATATTTTTCAACAGTCTATAGTGTCTGCTCTATACTATATATAATATAGTCTCTGTAATCTATAGTCTATAATCTATAGATGGGCTGTGTATTTACTAGTTTTAAATACTATTCAATTTGACAGTTTATTTACTCTGATCCTTTTCTTTAAGATGGTACATTTAAAGTGATCCTTTGAGAGCATAATATCTTTGTGTAGGCTTTAAGTAGAGAGCCCAATTTAAATTAATGACCCTATAACATTGACTACAAATTGTATTCTGAGCCATTGGAAAATGTGTCTTTTTGTTATTTGGATATTCTCATTTCTAGGGATGCTTGGAGTTCATTGGGTGATATGACCAAAGAGGAAGCTATGATTGCATATGTTGAAGAAATAAAAAAGGTAGGGGAAATAATTCACAGCAGAAAATGAAAATATTCATGGGGCACCTGGGTGGCTCAGTTGGTTAAGCATCTGATTCTTGATCTCAGCTCAGATCTTGATCTCAGGATCATGAGTTAAAGAAAAAAGGAAGAAAATGAAAATATTCAGAGCAGCTCTAATTTCATTTGTTATCAAGCAAATTAGCTGCTTTGTTTTAAGGAACAAAGAGATTATAATATATTAGGATATAACATCTAAGTTATTGAATTTATTAGTGCTTTATCTGTCTCCTCAATGTTCATCTTAAGGTCAATGTTTTTTTCCTTAAGATCACATTGTAGTGATGTGATTTTTCTTTTTTTTCCATCTTCTCTCTCTTTCTCCGTTGTCAACTTCTTCAGAAAGTTTGGAAATAGGAATCTTTTGAAGTACTGAAATCCCTTTCTCAGGAATCTGGGAAGTACCTGGGCTGTCTTGAAACCATTTCTGCTTTGGAACTTTTTACTTAGGAGAAATAGTTAACAACCCTGCCCCTCAGTGTTCTCATCAAGTTTGACCCACAAATTGAGATATTCCTATCACAGGACTTCTTAGTAACAAGCCTTTTTCTGTGAATGCAGAGATCCTTCAGAAGCAGAATAAGAGAAGGATTCTTTTAATGTCTCTTAATTAAGAGGGAGAGCATTCCTTACTGTTGTCTGTTCAAGGGATTGTTTTGAGGAGCAAATTTATGAAGAAATCTTGGATTTTAAAGATACTCTTAGTGTCTGTTTATAAAGCACCGTTTCTATTTTGGAACTGGATCAGAAATTGTGAAATTTAGGTCTGTTTGATAATCTTAAATAAATTATCTGTGAACATAAAGAAAATCCGTAAAAAGGAATACTTCTTTTGCCACATTGTTTGGCAGTGTTAATTTCTAGAAGTCATTTCTATTTGGTTGATTGAGCTTCATTTGTTTTGTTTTATTTTGTTGTCTTCTACACTGCTCAAAGTTGTGCCCTTTGTTAAATTTTCGCAGTTTATTCACTTAGTGGACCTGGTTTATCTATAACAGAAGGCAGTGTTTAGTCCTTTTGGCTGTTAACTATATCAGTAGCAAAATAACAAAGGCGCCTTTCAAAAGCAGAGAGAGCAACTCTGGCTCCCTTTTTGATTTGGTGACTATTCCTTTTCTTTCTTTAAATATCATTCTAATTTTTAGGACACACTTCTATCATGTAAAGTTGAATTGACACATTGGGTCAAATTTTCCCATTTTCCCTATACGATTTGTTTAATTAATGATGTACCACAGTTTAAAGTGGGAGGGAGATGGATTTAAACTGTAACTGCTGCCGTTTAGTTGTCTTAAGATACTTCAATTGTGCCTGTAGATTTCCGTAACTGCTTCTCTAATTGAAAGGATACGCCAGCTATTTCCATTCAGACTTTTAAAATTTCATTTTTCATATGGTGAATATAATAAAATTTATAGTAAACTTTTAGAGATAAATCTAGGAATGTTAGGATACCCATCAATTGAAAATTTGATTAGTTTTTGAAAGTATTTTCAGAGAATTGCTTTTGTGGACATCAGCAGATAAAATTGTATGCTTTTAAATAAGGATGTTTCAGGGGGTCAGAGGCACCTGGCTGGCTCAGTTGGTAGGGTATGCAACTCCTGATCTCAGGGTTGTGAGTTCGAGCCCCATGCTGGGTATAGAGATTACTTAAAAATATACATATGTATTAAATAATGGTGTGGGGTAGTACATTGTCCCAAAGATTTGATCACTGAATTTGGGGCTTTTTTTATTTTTTTAAAGATTTTATCTATTTATTTATTTATTTATTTGAGAGAGAGAGGGAGAGGCAGAGGGAGAGGGAGAAGCAGGCTGAGCAGGGAGCCCGATGCTGCGCTAGATCCCAGGAGCCAAAGGCAGACACTTAACCGGTTGAGCCACCTGGGTGCCCCAGGACTTTTCCTAATTGCAATAATTTACTAATTGAACCCGTTTTTATTTTTTTATTTTTATTTTTTATTTATTATTATTATTTTTTAAAGATTTTATTTATTTATTTGACAGAGATAGAGAGAGGGAGAGCACAAGCAGGTGGAGTGGCAGGCAGAGGGAGAGGCAGAAGCAGGCTCCCCGCCGAGGAAGGAGCCTTGACGTGGGGCTCGATTCCAGGACCCTGGGATCGTGACCTGAGCCGAAGGCAGCCGCTCAACCGACTGAGCCACCCAGGCGCCCCTTGAACCAGTTTTTAAATTATATTTGTAAATATGGTCCACTGTGCTATTGCTCTTTAGAATTACTTTTTTAGTATACATTTCATTCTGTGCTTTTGCCTTCAAATGTTTAAGGAACTTATCAATTTAATTTATATCTTTTAATAGGTAATATTTTGTGGAAAATTGCTTTTTGTATTTTATAAACTGTCCAATGAAATATCACTGAAAAAGTTGCTGGAATCAAAAATTCTTTTAAAATAATTTAATAGGATTTTAGCTTTGAGAGAACAGAATAATGTGGTTTGTGGGAAATAATCCATACTTCTTTAAATAAAGTTAATTTTGATTCATAATCAAAAGGAAATATAAAATTTTATTTTCTGTACGAACTTTACAGGCTATCTTTTTTTGTTTTTGTTTTAAAGATTTTTATTTTTAAGGACCTCTACACCTAGTGTGGGGCTCGAAATTACAACCCGAAAATCAAGAGTCGCATGTTCTACCGACTGAGCCAGCCAGCCGCCCCCCAATTTTATAGGCTTTCTTAATGAGGATTTCTGGAGAATTCAGCCAGACCTTGAAAAATATGCAGTATGTCTGTTGGATTTAAAGAGAGATCGGTATACTCAACTCTGGCTGCCCATTGAAATCACTAGGGTGATTTTGTTTAAAAAAAAAAAAAAATGCCCCAGCATAACCCCAGACTAATTATTTCAGGATTTCTAAGAGGATGGGATAATCGCTATACTAAAGGGAGGATTAGAACAGACTCTCACAAAAGATGGAACCTGAAAGCTACCATGGGTGAGGGTCTGGTCGGTAGGTCTACAAGTCCAGAACATTGGCTTTCTCTTTTTAAGGCTTGACTGATAATAACCATCTTTTGGAGATTTAGAGAAAAACCAGAATGCTAATTTCTTTTTTTTCTTCTTCCCCAGAGCGCTAATTCCTTAAGTTACAGTGGGTGTTATACTCTTCTACTTCGTGAAACAAGATGTGCACTGAACGTTGCGTTCTGCACAGGCTTGCTTTTCACACTTCAGCCCATGGTACTTTCCCTAGGCTTCCACATGCGCAGTGGGTATCCCTTCCCTAAACATGAACCAAGACGCGGGGGAAAGCTGCATTCTACACCACCTTGTTTTCCGAGTTTCGTATAGAACGCTTGCGTTGTGCTTCCACACCCCCTTTTGCAACTGATACCATATATCCTCAGGAGAGGGGTTCGCTTGAAAGACGGTCTCCCTCCGTCATGCTCTTTTCTCGGAGTTAAGGATAGGGCACTCTCCTTATGCCTACACACGTACACTTGCAATCTCTACTGACTTCATGACCCCGTCCATATGCTAGGGTAAAAGACCCATTGCGCACAGAGTTGTTTCTCAGAGATGAGTACAGGCATGGCACGTTCCTTGTGTTTCCACCACGACTACTCAAAAGGCTCCCGTCTCCAAGGCAAAGGATGTCAGGTCTAAGACGGTTTCGCAAAAACGAGGTTGCCTCTTAGAGGGCGGTCTACGGCGCTCTCGTGACGCTTCCACGCCTACATATGCAAACGCTTCTGGGCTCACGAAAGAAGTCGTCAGTTGAAAGCTGCCTTGTACCCCCGAAGCGTTTCTCGGAGTTAGGTTCAGGGAACGGTCCCTGTGCGATCACACGCAGCCTTGAGATGGCTCAGCTCTTTTCTATCGTCAGGGAGGACGTTTCTCGGAGTTAGGTCCAGGGAACGTTAGTAAAGTGTACGGCACTTTCAGGTTGCTTCCACACCCACTTTTGGAAATGATTCTCTCTCCAGGATACCTGAAGATGTTATTGGAGAGTTGCCGTATACGCGGACTTGCTTTTCTCAGGCGAGTACATGGCAGTTTTCTTATTCACGCACACGCACACGCACACACACACACAAACAAATACACAGACACACACAGAGTTGAACATGTTTCTGTCCCATCAGGGAAGAAGGTGTTCGTTGAGAGACGGTTTCTCGCCGATGCTTTTGGGTTCTTTCTTTTTTTCCCCCTGGAGTTTGAAGTGTATGTGCTTTTTCTCTAGGCTAACGTACACACCCTTGAGAAGCCTCCTGTAAGCCAGAAACAAGCCGTGAGTTGAAAGAGGCATTCCACGCAGACCTCCTTCTCAGAGCGAAGCCTGTCACACTTTTCCTTGGGCCTCCACACGCACTTTAGAAAAACTTCCTCAGGTAAGCTGTGGGTTGAAGGACTGGTTTTCTACAGCAGTTATTCGTGGGGGTAAGTATATATGGCACTTGGCCTTAGGCTTCCACACACTTTGGAAACGACTTCTCTCTTTGTGAAACAAGATGTGCGCTGTACGTTGCGTTCTGCACAGGCTTGCTTTTCACACTTCAGCCCATGGTACATTCCCTAGGCTTCCACACGCGCAGTGGGTATCCGTTCCCTAAACATGAACCAAGACGCGGGGGAAAGCTGCATTCTACACCACCTTGTTTTCCGAGTTTCGTATAGAACGCTTGCGTTGTGCTTCCACAGCTCCGTTTGGAACTGCTTCGATATATCTCAGGAGAGGGGTTCGCTTGAAAGATGGTCTCCCTCCGTCATGCTCTTTTCTCAGAGTTAAGGATAGGGCACTCTCCTTATGCCTGCACACGTACACTTGCAATCTCTCCTGACTTCATGACCCCGTCCATATGCCAGCCTGAAAGACCCATTGCGCACGGACTTGTTTCTCAGAGATGAGTACAGGGCACGGCACGTTCCTTGTGCTTCCACCACGACTATTCAAAAGGCTCCCGTCTCCAAGGCAAAGGATGTCAGGTGCAAGACGGTTTCGCAAAAGCGAGGTTGCCTCTTAGAGGGCGGTCTATGGCGCTCTCCTTACGCTTCCATGCCTACATATGCAAACGCTTCTGGGCTCACAAAAGAAGTCGTCAGTTGAAAGCTGCCTTGTATCCGCGACGCGTTTCTCGGAGTTAGGTCCAGGGAACGGTCCCTGTGCGATCACACGCAGCCTTGAGATGGCTCAGCTCTTTTCTATCGTCAGGGAGGACGTTTCTCGGAGTTAGGTCCAGGGAACGGTAGTAAAGCGTACGGCACTTTCATGATGCTTCCACACCCAATTTTGGAAATGATTCTGTCTCCAGGATACCTGAAGATATTAGTGGAGAGTTGCCCTATATGCGGACTTGCCTTTCCCAGGTGAGAACATGGCACTTTTCTTATTCACGCACACACACACACACACACACACACACACACACACACACACACAGAGTTGAACATGTTTCTGTCTCGTCAGGAAAGAAGGTGTTCGTTGAGAGACGATTTCTCGCCGATTCTTTTGGGTTCTTGCTTTTTTTCCCCCCGGAGAGTGAAGTGTATGCGCTTTTTCTCCAGGCTTCCGTACACACCCTTGAGACGCCTCCCGTAAGCCAGAAACAAGCCGTGAGTTGAAAGAGGCGTTCCACGCAGACCTCCTTCTCAGAGCGAAGCCTGTCACACTTTTCCTTGGGCCTCCACACGCACTTTCGAAAAACTTCCTCAGGTAAGCTGTGAGTTGAAGGACGGGTTTTCTACATCGTTTTTTCGTGGGGTAAGTATATATGGCATTTGGCCTTAGGCTTCCACACACACATTGGAAACGGCTTCTCTCTTCGGAAACAAGATGTGCGCTGAACGTTGCGTTCTGCACAGGCTTGCTTTTCACACTTCAGCCCATGGTATATTCCCTAGGCTTCCACACGTGCAGTGGGTATCCCTTCCCTAAACATGAACCAAGACGCGGGGGAAAGCTGCATTCTACACCAGCTTGTTTTCCGAGTTTCGTATAGAACGCTTGCGTTGTGCTTCCACAGCCCCTTTTGCAACTGCTTCGATATATCTCAGGAGAGGGGTTCGCTTGAAAGACCGTCTCCCTCCGTCATGCTCTTTTCTCAGAGTTGAGGATAGGGCACTCTCCTCATGCCTGCACACGTACACTTGCAATCTCTCCTGACTTCATGACCCCGTCCATTGCTAGCCTGAAAGACCCATTGTGCACGGATTTGTTTCTCAGAGATGAGTACAGGGCACGGCACGTTCCTTGTGCTTCCACCACGACTATTCAAAAGGCTTCTGTCTCCAAGGCAAAGGATGTCAGGTCTAAGACGGTTTGGCAAAAGCGAGGTTGCCTCTTAGAGGGCGGTCTACTGCACTCTCCTGACGGATCCACGCCTACATATGCAAACGCTTCTGGGCTCATGAAAGAAGTCGTCAGTTGAAAGCTGCCTTGTACCCCCGACGCGTTTCTCGGAGTTAGGTCCAGGGAATGGTCCCTGTGCGAACACATGCAGCCTTGAGATGGCTCAGCTTTTTTCTATCGTCAGGGAGGAAGCGGCATGATTTCCCTCTGGGTTCCTGACTGATCATAGTCTGGCGTCGTTCAGGGGACCCAGATCCACTGCGCCCTCCGGACGAGGTTCCGGGCAGAGTAAGGTCCGCAGCCGGGGCTAGTGTTTAAAGTTACGGGGTTTGGGAGATGGTAGGAGCCTAACGGTTGGCAGCGTGGACGGCTATCCTCACTGAGGCCTGAGTTGAGGTCGAGCGATAGTGTGAAAGCCAGGGTTGCGGGCTGCATTCCGGGACTAAGTGGGCACACCGTGCTCTCGAGGGCCAGGTTTTCGCTAGAATCCTGCCATCATGTTCATCCCGGTGCCTGCCGGTGGCACGGCTTGTGTCCCTGCCCCTGGAGGACGTGCCCCACTTACCGTCGAGCCGCAGACTTAGTCGGCAGGCCCAAGTAGGGCCAGAACCATGCCTCTCGCAAGGTTGAGACTCCACGATAGGGTAGATCCCCTAGCCATTTGTGGTGCAGAGGCACGCTCTGAGGGTTGCGTGGAGGGCAAGCCGTAGGGGGAACGTCTGGCTTCCGCGTCGGCCTCGGTGAGATGCTCCTCGTGGTCCTGGGGTGTGGTGAGTTGTTCACGAGGATCATGGTCTCTGGCACCATTCCTGGGGCTGCAAGTCGCAGGGTTTCCTTCTCCGTTCT